CTGGCATAACTAAAGGAGAGAATAGAGTGAAGGTTCTTCTGGAAGTGTAACTGAAAGAATTTCTCAAAATTATATTCCATATAACAAAGATATGACCAAGAAACTACACTATGCCATTCAGCCCTTTGAAACAGCTCTGTCATTCAATAAGATCATGGCTGATCTGATTTTAATCTCAGTTCTACATTCCTGCAAACCCCGATCTATCTTCCGCTGGGTAATTAAGAATCTTTTGACCTCTGCCTTAAAAATGCCTAAAGGCTCTCCATCCACTGCTTTTGAGGATGGGAATTCCAAAGGCTTACAATCCTGAAAGAGAAACATGTTTCCTCATCTCTTTTTTAAATGGGCAACCCTTTATTTTTAAACCTTAAGCCTTAATTCTAAATTCTTCCACAATAGAAAACACGCTTTCAACATCTGCCTGGTCAAGTCCCCTCAGGATCTCATATGTTTCAATTAAGTCATCCCTAACTTTTCTAAAACTCCAGAGAATACAGGTCTAGCCTGTCTAGTCTTCCCTCATACAGCAATCTGCTAATTCCAGGTGTTAGACGATTATCAAATCTTCTCTGAACTGCTTCCAATGCATGAACATTCTTTCATTAGTATGGTGCCCAATACTGTACACAGTACTCCAGATGCAGTCTCCCCAGTGCCCTGTGTAACTGAAACATAATGTCCCTACTCTTACATTCAATTCCCCTGGTAATAAATCATAATATTCTATTGGCTTTCTTGATTACTAGCGTTACCTGCATACTATCCTTCTGTGATGCATGCACTAGAACAACCAGATCTCTGCATCTTCTTGAGCAAGGTGTTTCTGCCAATTCCTCAGAGATAAATGTGCATGATTAGTGATGACCACAGCTGGTATAGATTATGCTTCCTGCCATAAAGAATAACCACCATTGTCGGGAAAATGTCCTTTTCTTTTTAAAGCAAGTCACTGCAGACAGAAATCTGCTTTTACATTTACAGGTTCAAAGTGCAAGAAGCAAGCATTTATGCTATGTAATGAGTTTTTTTTTAAAATAATAAATCAATATTATTGCGCTTATTAAATAATATTGGTTGATGGACCTTTTCATTCCAAGTTTATTATAGAAAAGTGTAAAATTGGCCACATTGGGACTCAGGTATATTACTTGTATTTTATATCGAAATTATGGAGAAAGGTAGGAAATCTAGAAAGGATCTGAGGAAAAGGATTTTCCCCAAGAGGGTGGTGGGGGTCTGAAATGCACTGCCTAGAAGGGTAGTTGGGGCAGGAAACCTCACCTATCGAAAAATACTTGAATGAGCACCTGAAATGTTACAATATTCAATGCTATGGGCCTAGTGCAGGAAAGTGGGACTAGTGTAGGTAGTAGTATATTTTTGGCAGTACAGATTCAATGGGCTGAAGGGCCTCTTCTGTACTGTACAATTCTACGATCATAACCAATCTAAATATGACCATACAAAAAAGAATTTTTAGTAGTTTAAATGGAAAGGGGAAAGCTATAAAATCTGGAAAAAGTACTTGGCATACTACAGAATAAAGATTTAATGAATATTTCTAATATTAGATTTATGATGTTCTAGTAAAGAGATGTTAGAACGACCATTTTCAAAGATAGGAGATTTACAGCTTTACTAGAAGTTATTAAACCCAAGTGGAACATTGTTTAAATAGAGTCCTTTGCATTTAATGCTCCTGAAACAGCAGAATTATCATCTGCAGATGTGAACTTTTATTGCATTATCAAAGATCCATCACACATCTTGAGTACTTTAAAAGACTGTTTGGACGATAGGTACTATGTACAGTGTAAATACATAATGTCTGCTTCCTTTCATTAACGTATCAACAAAATATTCTAAGACTATAACCGGGACATTTATAGTGTTTGTGCTTTTTTTGTTTGTGCATTATACTAAAGATAAAATTTTTACAGCTCAGGAATCGGCACTATGGTAATGTGGATTCTGTTTCCTCGCCCTTGAATTTGACATGATATATGTGTGAGGTGTAACAGTCCCCAAAGCTACATTTAACTACACAATCTAAATAAAAATATGCAACAGAAGCTAAAGTAAATCACAGTTCTCACTTTTTCTTAGTTAATCATAAAACTTTACTGCTGGAAACACATGCTTAAACACTGACTATGACCTTCTGGTGGATTTATTTATTCAGCTAAATAAAAATTAAAAAGGCTTCTATGTAGGAGCACACACCAATAATATTCAAGTATAAAGCTGTGTCTCATGACTGTGTAATGATATTACACATTTTGCAAAAAGCTAATCTCACCTTAAATTAACAAAATGTGCCTAAAACATTGGTTCCTAGTAGTCACAGGACTATCCATTCTTGACTCACTTCAGACAGAAAGACTGAGTTATTTCAGCATCAGGCACAAAGGGAGTTAACCCTTGGCAACACAATCTGTCCTTTGAAACATGAGGGAATTCAAAGCTTTTGAGATACTGGAAGAGTATCCATACAGATCATCAACATACAGAAGTAGGTATTAAAACTAGCAGCAGCACGAAGAGAATGTTCCCTTAGAATGTACTAAGGGGACGGGGCTCAGGACAGTTAGGAAAATTATTTTTCAAAGATTGACAAGAAAATTCAGATTGCTGGATGTTCCAAGTACTTTATCTCTAATGGGAAGGTATTATCTTATGATTCAAATCAAGTGATAAACCAATAAAGATATTGATTGACAATGGGCCATGTCAGTTATTGATGCTGTCTGATATTATTTGTTTTCCAGACTGACTAAATGAACGAGAAAATATTAATCAGAGGTGTACATGGAGGTTACAAACCAGCCTCATTATTGAGTGTTGAACTAAAAATAACTTAATGAATGGAAAAGTTGTAGTAGAAGATGAAGTGTGAAAGAAATTCCTGCAGAAAGAACTGATTTTGTTTTGGGAAATGACCTGACAGGTTCAAGAATACTGGCTTCACCATGGTTGGTGCTGCAACCAGTGGAGGTAAAAGCAAGAGAATATTAGAAGAGGATCATCATGGATGGTTTCCTGTTGTAACTAGATGTCAGGTTCACAGAAGTAGACACAAGAAAAGAAGTCTATGAAACAGGGAAATTATTTGTATCTGATAACTGAATTTCCAATTTTAGAAAATGAAAACATTGAGAATGCAGCTGATATGTTTAGCCCATCTTCATTAACACAAATGCAACAAATGGATTGGGAGTGAAATAGTTATACCAAACAGTTTGATCAGAGGCTGACTCAAACAATACTTGAATGCTATTGCTTGAAAGCGAATGTCTTAATGAGGAAATGGAGACCACTTCAAATTCCAGCTAATGAGGAACAGGCAGTGGCCCATCAGTTGATGGTTCCGAGTACCATAATGAACTTTCATGGGACGCTCATGAAATGCTAATGGCAGGTTGCTTGGGTATTAGAAAAACAAAGCTTAAAATATCAAAACATTTTTATTGACCAGGATTACGTAATATATGTATTCATTTTTTTCCAGGGATGCCATACAAGTCAGGTAGTGGGGTGACCCCTACCTTCAATTAAACTGCATCTTAAATTCTGATACCAGCTTTTGAAGAACCATTTAGCAGAGTCTTAATAGATTGTGTTGAAATCCTACTTAAAACCAGAAGTAGGGACCAGTATCTTTTAATGATTATGAATATTGCCACAAGATTTCCAGTAGCAGTTCTTTTGGGGAAAATTACTACAAAAATGGTAGCAGAAAAATACTTCAATATTTTACAAGATATGGATTCAATGAAATACAATCAGATCAAGGTTCAAGTTTTATGTCATAAACATTCAAATAAATGAAAGAAAGTTTGGGAATAAACAATATACATCTTCTGCTCATCACCAACAATCTCAAGGTGCACTGGAAAGGTGACAAAAAACTTTGAAGACCATATATAGAGCCTATTTCCGAGAATGTCTTAATAATTGGGATAAGGGAATTCCTTTGTTACAAGTTGCCATTAAATATATTCATATTTTGCACTAATATAGAGATATGAAACGAGAGGACTCAAACCAGGAAGATTAGCTCAAGTTCTGGAAAACAGAATGTTCAATCATGCCTTTTCCATCATAAAATCAAATTTACAGAAGCTGTAGCTCACCTTTTGTGATGTGGCCTAAATTCGATTGGTCAATAAGAGTCTATATTATCAAAGTCAATGTGGAATCAAAAGCAGAGTCATCTCTTATTCCAAGAACTGAGAATTACGTTGCACAACTCAGACATGATTCGTTTCAAAAGATGGGCTTACCAAAGTAATACTGGCAAGGTCCAGACACAAATCAAGCCAAAGAATAATTGGCTTCTTTGTACTGAAAGTACATCTGCTGTTAAAGTCATGCCATTTGGAATGGAAAATACACCAGCAATGTTCCAACAACTAACCAATAAAGTAATTCAAGGTATATGTAACTGCACTCTTTCCATCAATGATTTGGCTGTTTTTAGCTAAATCGTGAAAGAACTTTTACACCACTTGACTCTGATCAGCCATAAAAAGCCAATTTGGTTATAAATTTGGTTAAGAGTGAATTTTCCAAAGCAAAGATGACACACTGGGGTCACACATTCACCTGAGGGGCACACAGGGCCTCAGTTTAATACATCGTCCAAAAGCTATCACATTTGGTAGCATAGTTCACAACCAAGAGGAATTTGACACTTTATCTACAGGCTACATGTCTGTTGAGAGTGTGGCATAATGTATACATTTGGCATTAATTAATCAGCACAGCTGAAAAGTAGTTTGTGAGGAAACACCTTTTCTGTAATTTGGCATAATAATTACTTAATGTTTAGTCAATGTTGTTTTTAGATTGTTATGAACAATAAAAGTTTCAGAATATGAAATCTTGTGTAATCCTTTCTGTTCATAGCTGGGAAATTCTTACTTTTTAAAAAGAAATCTTCAGGGATGGTAACAACATTTAGACTCAAGCCTTCATCCAATAAATTAAAGACGTACCTTTTCTTCTGAGGCAACTGTGAGCTTATCACTTGATATCAAACTGCATACTTGATCCAGATTCAGACTAAGAAATTCTTCACCTAGCATTACATCAGGAAAATGTTGCTCTGTTCAGGAAAAAGAATAGGAAACATGAACATAAAATTAAACTTATAGAAACAACAGATTTTGTTAATTTCTTTGGAACTACAGAAGTCTCCACTGTAGTTAAGTAATCACCATGTTTTCTGCCATTGTTGACAAGATATAGCCTCAAAAATATTTGAAGTGCTCACATTATTAGTAGTGCCATGGCTACAGTACTTTGAGCAAAGAGCCTCTTTTTAAGGTTCTTATTGTTTTACATAAATGTATCTTCAAGTCATCGTGCAGTGATACAGTGTACTTTAATATAGTAAAAAGGTTGACTGGGTTTTTCAATGCTCATAATGCACTTAAGTTCGATTGGAGAATTAAAGAAAAGCCTCTGAAAAGATATCACTACTAAATAAAAAAATTGAAATGGCAAAATTTTTGTATACAAGTGAAAGAAACAAGGATATATGACAATGAATTTAAAGCTATTTTGAGAAATACATTTTTCACATTTTTAATCCGTGTAAAACGTGGGAATTGGGAAACTGCTAATTTACAGCAAAATCAGCCACTTGATTCAGAAAAGGATGAAAAATTATATATCCAAGTGGTCAAGGGACCATGTTGATTGCTATAAAGATATAATCATACAAAAACAGTACTCGAATGGATATAAGTAATTAAGCTCTAAAAGAGTGGAAAAATTAGCAGAACATTGACTCAAATCAAACAAATTGCACAGACCTTTAAGCAGATCATGTAAATTATCGGTGAAGTGATGGCCGAGTGGTATTGTCACTAGACTATTAATCCAGAGGCCTAAGTAATGTCCTGGAGACCCAGGTTCGAATTGTGCCACAGCAGACGGTAGAATGTGAACTCAATAAAAATCTGGAAATAAGAGTCTAATGTTGACCACGAATCCATTGCCGATTGTTGGAAAAACCTATTTCGTTCACTAATGACTGGCCTACAGGTGACTCCAGAAGCATTGCAATGTAACTGACTCTTAAACTGCCATCTAGGCAATTAGGGATGGGCAATAAATGCTGGCTTAGCCAGCTATGCCCTCATCATGTGAATAAATTAAATAAAACATATAGATTTTTTTTAAAAAAACTCCGAACATGGGCCTTACCAAAGCTTACTTAATAGCTGATCTAATGAGTTACATAGACAGCCAGCTTAATGAACATATTTCTGCAATCCGAGTTATATACAGGATGCAGTCAGATTTAGAACGATAGACATGGAAATAGTAATAACTATTAGATTATTTGACACCACCCCAAGGTCTCCTACCCTCCCTCGACCTCTTCATCTCCAATTGCCGTCGAGACATCAATCGCCTCAACCTCTCCACCCCTCTCACCCACTCCAACCTCTCCCCCACACAACACGCAGTCCTCCGCTCCCATTCCAACCTCACCATAAAACCTGTGGACAAGGGAGGCGCAGTTGTAGTATGGCGCACTGACCTCTACATCGCTGAAGCCAGACGCCAGCTCTCCGACACCTCCTCCTACCGCCCCCTTGATCATGACCCCCAACCCCGACCACCAAAACATCATCTCCCAAACCACCCACAACCTCATCACTTCAGGTGACCTCCCACCCACAGCCTCCAACCCCACACCGCCCGTTTCTATCTCCTTCACAAAATCCACAAACCTGACTGCCCTGGTCGACCCATTGTCTCCACCTGCTCCTGCCCCACCAAACTCATCTCTGCTTATCTTGACTCTATTTTCTCCGCCTTGGTCCAGCAACTTGCCACCTACGTCCGTAACACCATCCACGCCCTCCACCTCCATCAAAACTTCCGATTCCCTGGTCCCCAACACATCATCTTTACCATGGACGTCCAGTCCCTATACACCTGCATTCCCCCCAGCCCTCTGCTTCTTCCTGTCCTGCAGGCTCGACCAGTCCCCCTCCAATGACACCCTCATCCGCTTAGCTGAACTCGTCCTCACCCTTAACAACTTCTCCTTCAATTCCTCCCACTTCCTACAGACAAAAGGGTGGCCATGGGTACCCGCATGGGCCCAAGTTATGCCTGCCTCTTTGTAGGTTACGTGGAACAATCCCTCTTCCGTAGCTACACTGACCCTAAACCCCGCCTCTTCCTCTGTTACATCAATAACTGTATCGGCGCTGCTTCATGTTACCACGAAGAGCTCGAACAGTTCATCCACTTCACCAACACCTTCCACCCAATCTTAAGTTCACCTGGACCATCTCTGATACCTCTCTCTCCTTCCTGGACCTCTCTGTTTCCACCTCTGGCAACCACCTGGAAACCAATATCCATTTCAAGCCTACCAACTCCCACAGCTATCTAGAATACACCTCCTCCCACCCACCTTCCTGCAAAAATGCCATCACTTATTCCCAATTCCTTCGCCTCCGCCCCATCTGCTCCCAGAATGAGGCATTCCACTCCCGAACAACTCAGATGTCCTAGTTTTTCAAGGACCGCAACTTCCCTCCCTCAGTGGTCTCCTGCAACTCTTCCTTCACACCCCCTCCCCGCAATAACAACCAAAACAGAATCCCCCTCGTCCTCATGTACCACCCCAACAACCTCCAGATCCAACGCATCATCCTCTGACACTTCCGCCATCTGCAATCCGAACCCACCACCAAAGGCATTTTTCCCTCCGCACCCTTATCTGCTTTCCGGAGGGACCACTCTCTCCGTGACTCCCTTGTCCGCTCCACACTCCCCTCCAGCCCCACCACACCCGGCACTTTTCCCTGCAACCGCAGGAAGTGCTACACCTGCCCCTACACCTCCCCCCTCACCCCCATCCCAGGCCCTAAGAAGACCTTCCACATCAAGCAGATGTTCACCTGCACATCTGCTAACATGGTATACTGTATCCGCTGTTCCAGATGTGGCCTCCTCTACATCGGGGAAACCAAGTGGAGGTTTGGGGACTGCTTTGTGGAATACCTATGCTCAGTTCGCAACAAACAACTGCACCTCCCAGTCGCGAACCATTTCAACTCCCCTTCCCATTCCTCAGACGGAATGTCCATCCAGGGCCTCCTGCAGTGCCACAACGATGCCACCCGAAGGTTGCAAAACAGCACCTCATATTTCGCTTGGGAACCCTGCAGCACAATGGTATCAACGTGGACTTCACAAGCTTCAAAATCTCCCCACCCCCAACCACATCCCAAAACCAGCCCCAGCTTGTCTCCACCTCCCTAACCTGTCCTTCCTCCCACCTATCCCCTCCTCCCACCTCAAGCCCCTCCCCCATCTCCTACCTACTAGCCTCATCCTGCCTCCTTGCCTGTCCGTCCTCCCTGGACTGACCTATCCCCTCCCTAACTCCCCACCTACACTCACCTTTACTGGCTCCACCCCTGCCTCTTTGACCTGTCTGTCTCCTCTCCACCTATCTTCTCCCTTATCCATCTTCTATCCGCCTCCCCCTCTCTTCCTATTTATTTCAGAATCCCCTTCCCCTCCCCCATTTCTGAAGAAGGGTCTAGGCCCGAAACGTCAGCTTTCCTGCTCCTCTGATGCTGCTTGGCCTGCTGTGTTCATCCAACTCTACACCTTGTTATCTCAGATTCTCCAGCATCTGCAGTTCCTACTATCTCTGAATTATTTTACCCATCCCCACTTCACTTTGGCAGGCTTTAATTTAGCACATGAAAATACTATATTTGAAAAAATATCACAAGTTTTTCACCTGTAAAATTTAATAGTCCACCTATGAAATTTCTACACTGTTTCAGCCAAATTCCTGCGATTGAAATGAAGTTGTGGGCTTTTCTGGTGACCTGGTGAGGGGAATACACATCTTAGTAATGCAATTTTCTTGGGCTTTACTTATGTCCATAATTGAAGAAAAAAGAATAGGTGGACATGATTTACCAAGCATCCTTCACTTTTCTCTAGAAAAGAAAATCTTTTGTTACAACTGGAGCTTTGGAGACTGAGCTATTTTTAGTTTACAAGTAATCTAATGAAGGCAGTGGACGGTGAAACCCAAAGGCACAACAATGAGCTAGATGTATGTGAAGGAACACTTGCCTTGAAGGGCACTTTAGAAATTAAGAAAAAAATTCTCTGGTTCAAATGATCTAATAACAAACAAGCAAGCCTTAACGTTTCAATAAGAAACACATTAAGAAAGGCACATTAATTAAATTAGAAAATGCTTGAAAATGTTTATATTTTGCAATATAGTCTGAACTTGTTCGGAGTTGTTGCAGAAGATTGCCTAGATTTTCCACCTCAGCAGAACTGAGGTACATCTGTCTACAAAACATTGCATCTAATAACAACGAATCAATACCCTAACTTCTGGGTCAAATACATAAATTTGGCAGGAACTTCAGCTTCTTTTGCCTATACTATCTATACTGTGAGCAAACAGTGGCTAAAGCAAGCCTCCCATATCAAATTCAATGAACTGTCACCAGTGTCCACAGTTTTAATAGTATAGCATGAGTATAGCATTGCAGATCTGAAAATAGATATTCCTTCTTCAAGCACCACTACAACATAAATAATGTAAAATGTGTCAAAGGGTATACTGCCATCATTTGTATATTATTACATTATGCATCTCCATATATGGGCAAGAGATTTCTTTTATACATTAATGGGATGTAGAAGTCACTGGTTGGGCCAGCATTACCCATCTCTAATTCACCCCAAGAATGTTGTAGTGAGCTGCCTTCTTGAACCACTGGACTTCATGTAGTATATGTACACCAACAGTGCTGTTAGGAAGCGAGCTCCAGGACTGTGACCAAGTTACAGTGAAGGAATATGCTTTGAAATCAAGAAAGCACGTGACTTGGAAGGGAACTAAAAAGTGGTGGTGTTTTTATGACTCTGTTGCTCTTGTCCTTCTATAATGGTAGAGGTTGCAGGTTTTGACGGTGCTGTCAAAGGAGTCTTGACAAGTCCAATCCAGTGCATCTTGTAGAGGGCAAGTTACTTGCCAGAGAATTCCAAACCACCTAACTTCATCTTGTAGGCACAGTTTAGTATCTGAGGAGT